GGTGAGAAACCTTATCTGTGCGACTTCTGCAAGCAGCGTTTTTCTCATAAAAGTAGCCTTGTTATACACATTAGGACACATACTGGTGAGAAGCCTCATCGGTGCGACTTCTGCAAGCAACGTTTTGCTCATAGAAGTTCCCTTGTTCAGCACTTCAGGACACATACCGGAGAGAAGCCGTACAAGTGTGATCAGTGCGAGAAATGTTTTGCTCAGACAAGTCATCGCACGAGACACGTCCGAACCCAACACACATCAAATCAAACGGCAGATTAATTTACAAGCTTCTGTGTTTTCATCAAAGTTAATTTTGTTAGCATTATTTGGTCAAAGGTAGCTGCAAATATATCGAAACACGTGTCTTTATATTTTTCAAAGCTTTGAATTAGTAGCTACTGATTGTAATTAAGACTTTTCACTCCAATCTGTGTTTTGCTTTGTTAATTTTCCTATCAATAAAATCTATATCCTTGGTCAAAATCTGAAGTAAGTTGTGGTGTTTTAATTTTCCTTTTGCCTTATATTGGTCGGTGCTCCCGGTGTCCTCTTTTCTGAAAACTAAAACAGAATGATGCGTGACATCATGAAGTAGTTTTCGAAATTTAAACTTAATTCTGTGGCGCACACCTCACAAGACTCTCTGTTGCAGGCCCCGCTTTTGCTTCCCGTCCTGGAGGCTGTGGACGTCGCGGACGCGGACTTCTTCCTGCTCGCGCCGGCTCCGACACACTCGCCCAGCTCCTCAAGCGTGTCTCTGTTGCAGGCTCAGCTCCCATTGCCGGGTCCTCCCCGGGCTGAGCAGCGATAGACTCTAAGCAGCGGCGCCCCCGTCCTGCATGTGCACGTCGTGTCGGTGGTGGGGCGGTCCTCGGTGCAGGCGGTCCCGGCGAGCTCTAACGCGGTGGTGTTAATGTCGGCAGGTGCGCGGCCCAGGGCACCACCAGGACGAGAGGCGGCCGACTGGAGGGACACGGAGATGAAGGACGAGCAGTGCGGTGTCGAGCACGGCGATAATCCACTAGGACTTGAATTTGAAGACTGTATGCCGGACCCGAATACCAACGCAAAGCAGCGCGTTGTCGAGCACGGCGATGATCTACCAGGACTCGACTTTGCCGACTGTATGCCGGACCCGAAGATCAATGCAGAACCGTGCGTCATTGATCCTCTCGGACGAGAGGTGGCCGACTGGAAGCTGGATGCGGAGGGTCAAAGGGTTATGGTCACCAGGGGCTACCCGCTCCGAGGCCGCCGCAAGGAGGACTCTGAGGACTTTGCGGAGGCCCTGGTTGTCGTCGCCGACGCGGCGCACCCTCAACCCTCACCGCGCCCTGACTTGGCGTCCAGTGACCAACCCAGAGACGTGCTGCTGGGCGATGACGTCGTCCAGACGCACATGCATGGCGAAGGTCGGAACGATCCGACTCGAAGCGGTCAATGTGAAAAAAGTCCAAGCACCAGTAGCTCAATGAAGAGAGTGTCAGGTAATAACCCGGTTGCTAGCCCTAAAGGTAAGAACTGCGGCAAAACTTTCATTTCAAAGTCACAACTCGGAAAACATGTACGTGTACACACTAATAAGAGGCCATTCAAATGTGGACGGTGTGAGCAGAGTTTTACTCAAAGAGGAAACTTGACGGCGCACATCAGAACCCATACAGGCGAGAAACCCTATGTGTGCGACTTCTGCAAGCAGAGTTTTTCTCAAAAATGTAACCTTGTTGCACACATCAGGACACATACTGGTGAGAAGCCTTATCGGTGCGATTTCTGCAAGCAACGTTTTTCTGATAAAAGTACCCTTGTTCAGCACATCAGGACTCATACTGGAGAGAAGCCGTACAAGTGTGATCAGTGCGAGAAATGTTTTGCTCAGTCTGGTACTCGCGATAGACACGTCCAATCCCAACACTCATAAAATCAAACGGCAGATCAATTGACAGACTTCCGTGTTTTCGTCTAAGTTAATGTTTTTAGCATTACAGTATTTACCACTGTATTTGGTCAAAGGTAGTATATCTGCAAATATTTCGGAAAACATGTCTTTATCTTTTTCAAAGCTTTGCATTAGTAGCTACTGATTGTAATTGAAACCCTTTATTCCAAACCTCGTTTTGCTTTGTTTATTTTCTTATCAATAAAATAGATATCTTTGGTCAAAATCTGAAATAAGTTAGGCTATTTTAATTTTCCTTTTGCCTCATATTGGTCGGTACTCCCGGCTTCCTCTTCCCTGAAAACCAAAACAGAATGATACGTGACATCACGAAGTAGTTTTTGAAACTTATACCTAATTCTCTGGCATGCACTTTACAAGTCTCTCTGTTGCAGGCCCTGCTTGTGCTTCCCGTCCTCGAGGCTGCGGACGCGGACTTCTCCCTGCTCGCGCCGACTCCACTCCGACACACTCGCCCAGCTCCTCACGCGTGTCTCTGTTACAGGCCCAGTCCCCGCTGCCGTCTCCTCCCCGGGCTGAGCAGCGGCGCCCCCGTCCTGCATGTGCACGTTGTGTCGGTGGTGGGGCGGTCCTCGGTGTTGGCGGTCCGCGGTCCCGGTGAGCTCTAACGCGGTGCTGTTCCTGTCGGCAGGTGCGTGGCCCGGGACACCGCCAGGACGAGAGGCGGCCGACTGGAGGGACCCGGAGATGAAGAACGAGCCGTGCGGGGTCGAGCACGGCGATGAGCCACCAGGACTAGAGGTTGTCGACTGGAAGCCGGACACAGAGGTCAAGGCCGAGCCATGTGGTGTCGAGCACGGTCATGATCGAGCAGGACGAGAGGTGGCCAACGAGAAGCAGCACCCGGAGATGAAGGCCGAACCGTGTGGTGTCGAGCACGGCGATGACTCCGCCGATGTCCGGGACGAGCAGCTGGGGCTGCTAGTCACCGAGAGCTACTCGCTCCGCGGCCACCAGGACGGCAACTCTGACAACCTCGCCGAGGCTCTGGAGGTCGTCGCCGACGATGTGCACCCTCAACAAACTTTGCGCGCCGAGCTCGCGTCTAATGACAACGACAGTGACGTGCTTGGCGATGACGTCGACCAGACCTACCTGCAAGGCAAACCAGGTCAGAGCGATCAGACTCACGGTGGCAAATGTGAAGCGACTTCAAGCAGTAAGAACTCGATTAAGAGAGAGTCGCGTAATCTCCCCGTTGCGGGCCTAAAGTGTAGATACTGCAGCAAAACGTTGATTTCGAAGACTAAACTGAAAAGTCATCTACGTGTACACACCGGCGAGAAGCCATTCAAGTGTGCAACGTGTGAGCAGTGCTTTACCCACAAACACGACTTGACTAGGCACATCAGAACCCACACAGGCGAGAAACCCTATGTGTGCGGCTTCTGCAAGCATCGTACTGCTGATAGAAGTTCCCTTGTTAAGCACATTAGGACACATACTGGTGAGAAGCCTTATCGGTGCGACTTCTGCAAGCAACGTTTTGCTGTTAAAAGTGTCCTTGTTCAGCACATCAGGACACATACTGGTGAAAAGCCATACAAGTGTGATCAATGTGAAAAAAGTTTTACTCGTCGAGGTAGTCACACTAAACACGTCCAAACCCAACACACTTAAAATCGAACGGCAGATTAATTTATAAACTTATTTTTTTTCGTCAAAGTTAATGTTGTTAGCATTGTTTTGTGAAAGGTAGCATAACTGCAAATATTTCGAAATACATGTCTTTGTATTTTTCCTAAGCTTTGAATTAGTAGCTATTGATTGTAATTAAACCTTTTCACTCCAAACCGTGTTTTGCTTTGTTAATTTTCTTATTAATAAAATGGATATCGTTGGCCAAAATCTGAACTAAGTTGTGCTGTTTTAATTTTCCTTTTGCTTCATATTAGTCGCGGTACTCCCGGCTTCCTCTTACCTGAAAAACTAAAACAGAATGATACGTGACATCACGAAGTAGTTTTTGAAACTTATACTT